TTATTGTTTTAAACATTGTTACCTCCCCCCTAAAAAAGTCTAGGGAGGTAGCCAATCATTACTGTCCAGAAGTAAATGGACGCGCTTGTATGTCTTAGATCAGAGACAAATCGGTGAAACTGCATTTGTGCTGATTGTCTGGTCAGGTTGGTGAAGAGCAGCAGCACGAGGAGGCTTTGATTAGATGTGACACTGCAAGTCAAAGTGTGTGTTTGTATTGTAACCTTTTCTAACTGGTTGGAAAAGGACGGAGCCATGTGACTTATGTTTGTACCTCAGTGAGTGTGTGAGGCTTCGACGTCACGAGTCCACAGCTCAGGCTGAAGCCGTTTTCAGAGACCTGCTGGCTCTATGTGGGTTCCTGTGTGGTGCTTGTGCTTCTCCTCTCATCTTGTTTTCATCTGTAATCCTCATTGGTCCAGGTTGGCGGTGTGCTCAGCGTTTCCGGTCTGAGCCCGACTTGTTGAAATCCGGTCACATGTTTGGCCTGTCGTGTGTGAAGGAGAACTACTCCGAGGTCAACGCCTCCAAGATCTCACACACCAGCCACCTGCTGGCGCACACGTACGGCATCAGCCAGGTCCTCAGCGCCCTGCAGCTCAAAATCAGCCTGCTGCGGTGAGTGCGATCGCGCCGGCGGCTCGGCTCATCCGTTCGAGCCCGCAGAGACCTTAGCTCGGTCTGACTGTGGCCGTCTTTCCCCGCAGCTCGCCGTCCCACCCCGACCAGCAGCTGTGGAGGTCACCGTGGAAGCAGGAGGAGAGGCACAGACTGACGTCCAGCCCGAGAGGAGAGCCGCCCGTCTGCTACGTCAGCAGCGAGCACTGCTATCAGAAGCCCGGAGCATCATGGGAAAAAGGAGAGGAGCAGGAGAAAGAGAGGCCGATGGTGACGGTGAAGCAAGAGCGCAGCGGCGAGGAGAAGGTAGAGAGTCAGCAGACACTCGTGTAGCCTTTTAACTGTTCACACGTTTCCTACTCAGAAAGCTGAAACACTCGTTCACCAACTCGCTCCACTGCCCGAGGTAACAGGACACAAAACATCTGTGTTTTCATGTATTTGTGCTCTTCACACTGATGGGGGGAAACATGAGCAATAAAATCTAAACTGGGATTTCACTCCTGCATTAAGGCTGAACATCATAAAATCTGATTATTTAGAGCAAAGACGATGAATCTCTTCTCTGCTGTGAATCTGAGACGCGTGAATCTTTAGCTGCTGGGAGGTTTAGGTGTAGTAAAAAAAACAAAGCCTGGCTCACAGAGACCTTGAGCAGAAGCGGCGCCTCACGCTCGCAGCGCTAAGCTCCTGCTGTTGCTATGAGACCAGTGAAGACCAGTTAGAAGCTCATTCTGGTGAATGTGGAACTATTTTTACCTTTTACTGAGTGTGAGGGGAGAGGAGCTGCAGAGGATACTCTGTGAAGACACACCAACAGAAAAGCTGTAACAGGCTTCCTCTGCACAGTCACACAGCCAGAGATTTTACAAACGTGAGGCTCTTCGGGTAGATCATGAAAACATTATTTTCATGATCTACCCGATCATCATTATTTCTCTGTTGGAGTGTTGGAGAATTCTTGTAGAATAGAAAGAATACATCATTAGTAGCAACGAAATGGAGCTAAAAATAAACGATTGATGGAGACTCAACAAGTGAAACGAGCAGATCACAGTGAATTTATTTAAGTGGACCAGAAGACAAGATGTGAAATGTAAGAGAGATTCTTTTATTCCAGAGACGGTCACAGAAGCAAAAGGGTTCGACAGGTGAGCCTGTGGAGGGGTTGTACGCTCCTGTGATTGGCTCATGAGTCTGTAGAGGCTGTGGCCGTAAACTGTCTCTGAATTTTTATTTAAATCTTAAGGAGATCACCTGTAAAAAAGAAAATAATTACTTATTTATTACAGAATAAGCAGGCCGTGACTTGTAAAAACCTAAATTTCATATTAAATTGTAAAGTTACTGAAATATAAACTGGAGATGTAATCTAATAATATTCTAATTTCAGTTCGGCTATTAGATGAAAATCGATAAAAACTGAAAAATGTCCACCTGACCCTTCAGAATCAGCTGATCTCTTTGAACTTTTTAAATACAGCAGAAATCTCCAGGACGCAGAATCCAAAGCCAGCGTTATTATGTGTTTAACCAACTCTGAGCATCACGGCTTGTATTGTAGCTGCAGGTTTAACACTGTGATGTAACAGAAACAAGGACCCTGCATGTGTGACCCGGGGTTCTTTGGGGGGCGAGGGGGAGACCGCATTTTCTCCAGAAAAGGGAATTTTCAAGCATCGTTGGTAGAGTGTCGTTATTCAAACTACTCTCCAATTTTGTCAAATTCACTGAAAAACGAATTCGTCTTCGTCTCTGCTGCTGTTTGTTAAAAGCATCTGTCATTCTCTCTGTGTAGGAAATAAAACCTGAAGATGTCAACAGGAGCGCAGCTCATACCGCCGCAGAC